CAACGGTACTCTCGGAATTTCAATCTGAGCCTCGGAACCTCATATGTTGACCAAAGTCAACTCTTTATCAAAATTTCACAACTTTAGCAACTTAGGACCTCAATTCTTCGTTTCAACTCCAAATTCGACTCCGTAACTTCACACAGACCCGTTTCGACATTCTAAAACTGTCGGAATCGACGGAAATCCGATCCGAGTCCCGAAACTCCAAATGACTCGAAAAAGCACTTTTTAACCAACTTTAACTCATAAAAACTCAACTTCTCAAAAACTCAACTTTTTACCAACTTTTCCTCAAACCAACTTTACAACCACAAAACATGGGACTCGGGGCAACTACCGAAAGGGCAAAATAGTCATTTCCACGAAAAATTACCAAAATGACCTTTCGGGTCATTACAAGAAACATCATCGCTTAAAAATGAGACCTAGCTTCCCACATACCTAAATAAATCTTTTGCTCATTCATTTAAGGAAATGAATACTTGAAACATCACTTTATTTCAAATGAAAATTTTGTTTTTAGCTAATGCATAAGCCTAGTTCTTCATTTTGCATTATAAACATTTCTTTTTAGAAAATAGTATCCTCTAGAAGTGGTTGAAACATAATTGCATAGTATATATTACTCCGTTGTGACTCTCTTTTCTTTTTAGTCCGTTCTAAAAAAAATGTCATTTTACTATAATTAGAAATAATTTTAACTTTAAAATTTCTTTTACCCTAAATGAAATGAATCTCAACCACACATGTATCCAAGGATTCATGTTTTAGACCATAAGTTTCAGAAGTTTTCCTTTTTTCTTAAACACCATGTCAAGTCAAAGGGTGCACATAAAATGGAATGGAGGGAATAAATTAGTACTACTACAAGTGCATGAAAAATGAAATTTATGTCACTTTTCTTGAGAAATCATGTAGTTGTAAAAAAAATTACAAGTCGTAAGGGACAAGATTAGGATGTTATACCATCTTTGATTTTAAAAAAGGATTTTAAAAGAATAATACATCTCCCCCTTCCCATTTCTAGTTTATATATAATGTTGAATAATCATAGTAAAGGATATCAACACTTCTCTACAATTTTCCTATAGTGTCACCACATCTTTTTATTTCCATATCTTTTAGTAAAATGGGTCTAAAGTCGGTGTTGTGTGCTAAGATAGAAATGAAAGCCAATAAGGATGTGTTTCATGATGTCTTTACAAATAAACCACACCATGTCTCTACTATGTCCCCTTTGCATGTACAAGGCTGTGAGCTTCTTGAGGGTGTCTTTGGAACCGTTGGATCCAAAATTTGTTGGACGTATATCCTTGGTAAGCTGAATCTTTAAATATTTATCAAAACTGACAAGTAAAAATAGAAATTATTTAATCCACAGAGGGATCGAGTATATGATGTATTATAAGGTATTTCTTTTGGAATATCCAAGGAAAGATGATGTTTCTAATGATTAAAATACATTTATTATTGATTTGTTATATTCAAACTAGATTGCGATGGAACAGTTTGATGTGTTTGGTATGAAGAAAATCCCATCTTTTCCAACTTGTTCTTTTGTTAAGGACTTTTATGGTTATCCAATAAGAAATTTGGGAATAACTCCTTTTTTTTTTTGGTACGGCAGAAGGAAAAGAGAAGATTTCGAAGCAGGTAATTGAAACTATAGATGAGGAAAAAAAAGTGATCACATTCAAAGAATTTGAAGGTGATCTAGTGAATATATATGATAATTGAAAGGCAACTCTTCATATCGAAACAAAAGGTGAAATTGATTTGGTAAATTGGACAATGGAGTATGAAAGGCCAAATGAGAATGTTCCTGAACTGATAAATTTGTTGGACTTTATTATTGGTATGACCAAAGCTATTGATGATCACCATGTCAAGATGAAATGATGGGATTATATATATAGTTGCTTTATTTGATGTTTGAGAGTATAGTAAAAAAATAACTCATGTTGGTTGTGTACTTTTTATTTGGGTTTTATCTTTGGTGAATTCATGTTTGATTGTGTCTTTTTCTCATGTAACCTTTGTGTTGTGTAATAAGACATGGGTATGAAGTTTATATATATTTCTCTTCGCCTCCTCCTAACTTAGTAACATTTTATTTTTCGCAAAAGGATCAAATATATTACTATTACACTATCAAAAATAGTCAAAATATACTTTTTGTTTAAGTTTTGATATTTTAAGTATACCACTTCCGCTGTCTTATTACACAACACAAAGGTGGAAAATTTACGACCTACACCTATGTAGAATTCTTAAAAGTTCCAAGTTCAAAAGAATTATATATATTTATATTATTATTATTATTATTATTAATATTATTATTATTATTATAATAATAATAATAATAATAAATTATCTCTATTTGTTTTTTTTTTTTAAAAACAAAATGTTTGTGAAGCCAAAAGCTCTGACACAGCTAAAAAACTTTTAAAAAAAATATTTTAACTAAAATAATCTTTAAATTTCTCAAAATGCCCTTACTATCGAAAATTGCTCTAACTTTTTTACATACACAAACAATAGAATGAGGGGCAGCGTATACATATGGTTTTATTATAGGAAGGTACTTCAATTATTATCGGAAGCTACTTCAATAGAATGAGGGGCAGTGTATACATATGATTTTATATTTTAATTAATAATTTGTGGAGAACAATGACATGCATGTGCCAAAATGTCCCTACTACGTAAAATGCTTTTATTATCTGAAGCTACTTCAATTATTGCCTTATATATAAGTAGTAAGATTAATTTTCACAACCCCCGCATAGTCATCAATTGAAAAAATAAAAATAAAAATATGAAGTGGTAATTTAAAAGTGAGTAGGAGAAATTTTATTGGACTTAATAGTTATAAAATGTGGCTACAATAAAATTGTAAGTACATCTTAAATTGGCGAGTCTTCAATTGATAGCACCTTATAAAATAAAAGCTCAGTAACAATAAGAAACAAGAAATGTAGAGAGCAAGAGAGAAAAATACATGTTCCATTTTTTTTATCCTCTTGTAATTTTACATATCACCACTTGAAAGAAAAAAAAGACCTTCTTTTGTCTTGAAAAATAATGAGTCCCACATAACTTTAATCAAGGCAATGAATACGTGAAACATTACTTTCAATCTTGTTTAAAATAGAATAGCATCTTTCAATCACTTGAAACATCACTTCCAATTTTGTTTAACCCTAGATCTTCATTTTGCATTGCAAACATATCTTTTTAGAATAGTATATATCCTGGCATGCCAATTCTAGAAGTGGTTGAAACATATTGTCACGATCTTACCCATCGGATTGGGTAAGCGCACACCTACTCTAATATCTAGATAGGAAAATAGTTACAAGAAATTTTAAACATGAAATGCGGAATTGAAAGTTATAAACTAACCATCCTATTTCAATATATATATAGGAATACTCTTAATTTAATATATATAAGCTCCTACGATAAAGAAAGAGGAGGAGAAATTGTCATCATCTTCATCCATAAAACATCGATCATTGAATCAACACTAGATTGTTTAAGTGAAAGGTGATCCAGTCACTATAAAAAATCAGTTGTTAAATTCACATATTCAACCTATTGTCATGACAATTTTCAAAACCAGCCCACTAGCATTTGCTACTATCATTTTATGGAGGTTATCATATAAATTTTGTTGGGTCCAATGACATGTATCTGATATTCCAGATACATGTATGAATCACACTAGATGCATAAGATATATGTATCTAGTATGATCCACCTGTATATTGGATACATACGAATTTTACTCGCGATCTTCCTATTTTTGTGTATCTGGTGTCAAGAATACATGCATCTAAGTATATTTTCCTCAATATATGATATGAAACTCTTAATTAATGGTAAGAGACGTAAAAATTTCTGAAAGTATAGATAATATTAGTATATATGGTAGTGAAATATGTATAATTATGTAGTTTATTATTTGTGGCAAATAATAGCAATACTATGATAAATCTACATTCTGTATTAAAGGTGAATTACTCATGCAATATAAATGTATTATCCATTCATATGTACTATATATATTTTATAAATTATTCTATCTGCAATATGTATTAAAACTTATTTATAAATGTATTATAAGTATTCAAGTGAGAAAAAATATTACTACTATAAATGGTAAATATTTTCTTAATACGCATATTTTGGTAAGTTTCCCTTGAAACATTATTGCACAAGTATTACCGCTACAACTGCATGAAAAATGAAATTCATGTCACTTTTCTTGACAAATATATATATATATATATATATATATATATATATATATATATATATATATATAGTAAATAATAAAGGGAAATTGTATGAAATAGAAAACTATTAATTCAAATTTAATGTTATAGCCATAGTTTATTTTATTTGTAATTCGCAGAAAACATCTCATTTTTTTGCCATCTGATTCGGTATACAATTAGCCATTTTCGGTATACAATTAGCTATTTTATACATTTCAGTATAAAATGTATAAAATGCGTTTGTGTTTGTATAAAGCGAGAGAAAAGTGTATATACAAATACAAATACATGTATTTTCGTTCTATACACTTATAATTATACAAATTACAATGTATAAATGAATTTATACAAAACTGAACAATTTGTATAAAATTGGATGTATCTAGTGAATTATACAAATCAAAAGCTCCATAGCAAACATAAAATTTGCTATGGAGGTCAATTATGCAAACTATAGTTATAACATACAAATATGATTTTTATGTTTTCTATATGTGAAAGTTGCTCAATAATAAACTACCAGTATGAGACATGATTAGGATGTTATACCATCTTTGATTTTTTTAAAATGATTTGAAAAAGAAAACACCTCTCCCTTCCCACTTTCTAGTCTATATATATTGTTGATTAATCATTGTGAAGGATATCAACACTTCTTCTCTACAATTTTCCTATAGCGTCATTACATCTTTTTATTGACAAATCTTTAGTAAAATGGGTATAAAGTCTGTGTTGTGTGCCAAGAAAGAAATGAAGGCTAATAAAAATGTGTTTTATGATGTCTTTACGAATAAACCACACCATGTCTCTACTATGTGCCCTTTGCATGTACAAGGTTGTGAGCTTCTTGAGGGTGACTTTGGAAGCATTGGATCCAAAATTTGTTGGACGTATATTCTTGGTAAGACAAATATTTAAAAAGTTTCTAACAAAAATATTTTTCGTTAAAAAGGAAAAAATGACTTTCTGCTAGCTATAGGTAGAGGGAGAGTACTAGCTACAGATTCTAAAAAAATAAAATAAGTTTCTTAAAAATGAGAAAAAGAAAGTTTTATAAATGATATTTTAAGTTCATTGTTTATATTCCCACACACTCAATGCCCCCGACCTCCATCCCTTGATCATCTCCTCCCCCATAAAAACCCCTAGCCCCCAATCCTCAGCTCCTACCCACCCCATGGTGTTTTATTGGTAGATTACATATATTTTCTTTTGAAATAATATGTTTCTCTATACTTATCAAACACTAAAAAATAAATAAGAGATTGAATTATACATTTATTATGAAAATATTTTCCAACATTACCAAACACATCTTTAGAAAACAAACTCATTAAAAATAAGAAAAAAGATTTTCATAATGAAAATAGGAAAACAATTCGCATAATTCTCTCCTTCACTGCCTCACAACCACCCACCACCCCCAAGCCCTCCCTTCACGCCCAACCCCCACACCCCCACCCATCCTCATAATTTTATTTTGTATATATATAAATATATACTTTTTGAGATAATATTTTAACTTGTATAATTCAAATAGAAGAAAATAATTGAGAAATCACTTGTTTTCCTTTCTACCCTTAATGGCAACTCTATTTGTTTTCTCTTTTGTTAAGGACTCTCATGGTCATAATTTTGGGAATAACTCTTTTTTTTCTTCGTGTAAGGCAGATGGAGAAAAGAAGATCTCCAAGCAAGTAATTGAAACTATAGATCATGAAAACAAGGTGCTCACACTTAAAGAATTTGAAGGTGATCTAGTTGATAAATATGATAATTGGAAGATAACTCTTCATATCGAAACAAAAGGCGAAATTGATTTGGTATGTTGGACAATGGAGTATGAAAGACCAAATGAGAATGTCCCTGAGCTTATAAATTTGTTGGACTTTATTGTTGGTATGTCCAAAGCTATTGATGATCATCATGTCAAGATGAATTGATGAGATCATATATATGCATGTGAGGTTTATATAAGTAATTAAATAGTTGTTTGTTTGTTGTTTGAGATTATGGTAAAAAATAATCCATGTTTGAGAGTAAGTACGTTTTATTTGGTTTTATCTTGGGTAATTTGATGTTTGTTGTGTCTTTCCCATGTGAGTGATTCGTTATCAACTATGTAATCTTTGTGTGGTGTAATAAGACACGGGTATCAAGTTTATATATTACTCCTAATTTACATAGCGATATTTTATTTTTATTTTTATTTTTATTTTTATTTTTCTGAAAATGATCAAATATATTCTTGTATTGTCATAAATAGTCGAAATATGCTTTTTATTCTTGTAATTTGGCATTTAAATTTACCCTTTTAAGTTAGATTTACAAGCCAAAGATCACGAGCACTACGGTGAATCGGAAGACAATTGGGGATGCTTGTAAGCTTAACACAGATAGAAGACAAGATTAATATGTTATTTATGCCACGTAAGATATGTGTGTATCTATTTGTTTAATCTTATATAAATTTAAGTGTCTACTTGTTCATATTCAAAGTTGGAGGACATTAATGTCATGTGAATTAAGCTATATTAAAAGACACATTTATATATATAATATGCCTAAATTTTTAAAACAAATACCATTAAATAACGAGCTTAGTGAAAATTTTATAAATAAAATTCAAATGTAATTTGTATCTTACATAACGACAAAAAACTAAAACTTGCAAAAGATAATACTCCTAGACTCAACTTTAAGCAACGAAATTAGCCTAGAGTTGAATTTATAATGAAAGAAAAAAAACACATAACAAGCAAGAGCCATGGATCATAACCACACTTGCAAGTTCGGAATAATTTTTTAATTAATTTATGGGAAACTTTCATAAATCCCGCTAGTTTATGAGCTGATTATTTAGAGACACTATAATTTGTAATATTATACGCATCTTACCAGATTTTGGTGCATCCAGATACGTTCACATATATGTATCTTGTGATACATGAGTCAAATTAGATATAATTTGTTTAAGATACATTGTATCCAAGTAGATTCACATGTATTTGAGATACATAACAAATCTCGATCGCCTCCCTCCCATATCGCTTGCCACTTTCCTATGTATCGGGTATCTCATATATATATACACGTGAGTCATATATACCATATACATACAGATACATGTATCTAGTGTGTATTTATTGTGATTCACATGTATCTGGAAAAAAAAGATGCATAACAAATCTCGTTTGTCTCTCTCCCTATTTTAGTGTATTTGGTAGCAAAATAACATGTATCTTCCTCAATATATGATAGAAAACTCTTAATTGGTGATAAGATACGTAATATTTTTTAAAATATAAATAATAATAATAATAATATATATGATAATGAATTATGTATAATTATATAGTTTCTTTCTTAATTATCATATAGTGGTTGTTAGTATGCATGCCCAAGCAAACTTTGAAAGGGTATCTTGTAAGCATTTTTAAATTAATTAAGAAAAACAAAAACAATATAACTGCACATAGTCGATGCGTGAAATATGGTGAAAATAATGTCGGGCTAACCCAATATATTTAATAGCGACATTTAACCACCATGATTGATTTTCTTTCCATAAATAGTACATAATATGACAAATTAAGATAGCTCAGACTCAATATATAATCATGTCCACTCTATGTTGTTACTACTTACTTGTTATTTTATAAAATATATTATAGTTAATTAATACGTATGTACATCTACCACTTCCCTTCTATTGGACTCGGCTCCCCTCCAGTAGAAGAAGTATCCAGTTTGTCCAGTGGAGCTTTCATCTACTGACATCTGTCCCATAATGATCTAAAGGTAAAAAATAATGTACCTCTTAAACCATGGTTAAGTTTACTAAAACTTTTTGGCTTACTATCAATTTCTCAAGATAGTAAATGAATCTGAGAATGCGGCTGAAAATTTTCTGCTAATTACACAGATTCGAAAATTTTGGTGCAGGATTTTTCTTTTGCTGGGAAAAAGATTTTCTTACCAGGGATGATATTTGTTCAAGAGAGAAAGCTTCTATGTATATTGCCTAATATCAACAATTGCTGTACAAATTTGTTGCTCAATAATATTAATGTTGTTCAGCTTTTTCATTTTTGCTATTTGAAATAAAACAGGGAACATGATAATTATGAACATATTTACTACATAATTTGTTTTCTTGCTTAACTAAAAAAAACAGGAATGTTATCATTATGAACATGGGAAGAAAATTACATCGTTTATACTAACCTTTATGTATGTTTAGTAAATGTTGAACCCCTTTAACCTTTTTGTTTGTTTACTTTTTATATTTCAAACACAAAGAAGAGGAAGTAGGATATATGAAGAAATCTGGGGAGAGTTACTAAATAATATGAAAAAAATGGAACATTTAATTTGAAAGAGGTTGAATTTAGGGGGTGGAAATTGATTACATTTGTAGATTTACACAGTGAAATTTAAGATTATTTTAATTTTTATCGTCGGATAGAGAAAACGGAGCAGTGATTGAGCAAGATTCTCTTCTATAGACATGTTGTCAACATGGGAAAGAAATAAATTCTAACAATACTTTTGTTGAACCATGATTTAAGAGGTTAATTTGATTAACTAATTATTGACCTTTAGATTATTAAATGACAGATGTCAGTAGATTAAAGACCCACTGGACAAACTGGATACTCGTCATTGTACTGGAGGGGAGCCTAGTCCACTTCTATTTATGCAAGAGCCATGGATCAAAAACCATTTCATTGCATCTTCACATTATTAAGATGTCATAGTTTCAATTAGGGAATATTATCAATAAATGTGATGCAGTAGATGTGATTTTTCTCTTAACTAAAAGTCTTGTGTTTGAGTGCTGAATATAAAAAAAAATTGATATAGAGAACGCATCACATTTATTGATGACAAACTAGAATTCTCAATTAGTAATATTTTTTTCCTACCTAATACTAAAGACAAGTGAATGTAAGAGTTAAGATACAAACAAAAAGAGAAAACAAGAAGCTGGATTATGATGAAGATATCAAAAATGCCTCGACGGAAACTCTACAATGCCAACAAAGCATCATAAACGTAATATTTAAGGCCAAAATTTATTTCTGTGTTGCATGTAAAGACATACTAAAAGATGAAAGATAAAAACATCAAAAACACATATTTAATCCAAAAAGTTTTTAATCAAAAAAGTTTTTTTTTTTTCTTTATATTAGGTTAAGGGGAAGGCGCAAACCCGCCTTACAAGGCGCAGCAGACCTGGATCTTACAAGACACTGTCAGCTCGCGCCTTGTAAGGCGCATAGGGAGCTGCCTCTTGCTCCTTTTTACCCTAATTTACACTGCGTTAATCAGGGCGTCTAAATGTTGCTCTTTTGGTTTTCAACTTATTTTTGTTGCCCTTTTGGAGTTTTTGGCCTTTATTTTTGCCCTTTAGACTTCGGACTCGGATATAAATATTACCCAACACTTTTCTTGACAAATATTGCTATATACATATAATATGAGATTCATATCTATAGTTTGGTCATAGAGCAGTGTTGAAGCTGAATGATATATACTAGAAAAATACATCTCTTAGTTTTTTTTCCTCTTGTAATTTTCAGAGGATAAGAAACATCATCGCTTAAAAATGAGACCTAGCTTCCCACATAACTAAATAAATCTTTTGCTCATTCATTTAAGGAAATGAATACTTGAAACATCACTTTATTTCAAATGAAAATTTTGTTTTTAGCTAATGCATAAGCCTAGTTCTTCATTTTGCATTATAAACATTTCTTTTTAGAAAATAGTATCCTCTAGAAGTGGTTGAAACATAATTGCATAGTATATATTACTCCGTTGTGACTCTCTTTTCTTTTTAGTCCGTTCTAAAAAAAATGTCATTTTACTATAATTAGAAATAATTTTAACTTTAAAATTTCTTTTACCCTAAATGAAATGAATCTCAACCACACAAGTATCCAAGGATTCATGTTTTAGACCATAAATTTCAGAAGTTTTCCTTTTTTCTTAAACACCATGTCAAGTCAAAAGGTGCACATAAAATGGAATGGAGGGAATAAATTAGTACTACTACAAGTGCATGAAAAATGAAATTTATGTCACTTTTCTTGAGAAATCATGTAGTTGTAAAAAAAATTACAAGTCGTAAGGGACATGATTAGGATGTTACGTTATATCATCTTTGATTTTAAAAAAGGATTTTAAAAGAATAATACATCTCCCCCTTCCCATTTCTAGTTTATATATAATGTTGAATAATCATAGTAAAGGATATCAACACTTCTCTACAATTTTCCTATAGTGTCACTACATCTTTTTATTTCCATATCTTTTAGTAAAATGGGTCTAAAGTCTGTGTTGTGTGCTAAGATAGAAATGAAAGCCAATAAGGATGTGTTTCATGATGTCTTTACAAATAAACCATACCATGTCTCTACTATGTCCCCTTTGCATGTACAAGGTTGTCTTTGGAACCGTTGGATCCAAAATTTGTTGGACGTATACTCTTGGTAGGTTGAATATTTAAAAATTTCTTAACAAAAATATTTTCCATCAAAAAAGGGGTCGGAACTTTCCACTAAGGACGGAGGGAGAGTATTAGCTAGCAATTGGTTCGAACAAACCCAATAGCTATTGCTTAGATCGTGTACTTGTGTTAGGAATTTCATTAAATATGTATGAATATTTAAATGTGAATCCAATAACTATGACGAGGTAGTGGATTCGGTAACAAACTCAAAACACAGTAACTTCAAATCTTAGTCCGGTCTTTGCTTTCCGTTCATGAAATCATTTTCATCTATCTTAGCGTCACATTTACTTGCTCCAATTTACAATTAAATATTATAATTATTATAAAGTCATAAACCTTTCCTACAAGTAAAAGGACTAGTCAAATATGGAGACTTTGTATTTTACCTTTAGAAATAGAAAAATCGAATTACAGTAAGAAACT